TATATATTTTAAATTTGAAAATTGTGTTTGTATTCATCCCCCCCCCTTCTACAAACTGTTTAGTATTCTTATAGACCCTTTTGGGACCAACATATTTCATCTTGTTCTTGACCATATTCAACAGCCGGATTAGGACTGTCACCGGTCACTGTGTTGACCGGACTAGTCATACCCGAACACAGTGTTGTCTGGATTGGGATAAAGGCTTGTTCATTTATGATTATTTTCGGACATAGTATTGTCTGGAATAGAGCATGGTCCGATCAATATATTGACCGATGAATGACCATACCCGGACACTTATTGTCCGATGATAGTACATCCGGCCAAGTAATGCTCGGATTAAGAACTTTGTGTGGGTTTGGCAAATTTTATGCACGGACACCATATTGTCCGGATAAGGGTAAATCTGGATAGGGTGATTATTATTTCTTCAAGTGTTGTCCTGATAAGGAGTCCGGCCAAGCTTGTGCGGACATGTGTTGGTCGGATAGCTTGTCCGGATACAAACTATTCGTATATGTTTAAGTGTTAAATTTGAATTAATGGGATTTTCACAATTTAACAATTATTTGGGTTTAAATTTTGTTATTGTGAAAAAGGGTATTTTATATCTTTTAAAAGTGAAAAAGATAATGTTTCTATCAATCATGGTGACATAAGTCTATTTTGGTATGAAACCGTATTTGGGAAATATTTCTACCAAGCATGGTGATGTAAGTATGTTTTGGTATGAAACTGTATTTTGAGAAATGTTTCTTTCAGACGTGGTGACTTTTGTCTGTTCTGGAATGAAACTTGTTTTAAGAGGTAGTTCCTCCAAACGTGTTGACATTTATCTGTTTTGGGTTGGAACTGGATGATGGGTACTTCCAGACGTGGTGACTTTTGTCTGTTCTGGCAAGTAACACTGTTTTAAAGAAGAAATAAGGGTGACATATCAAGGAGAGGTGTACCATGGAATAAGGGTGGAAATGTCAGATGTGGATATTATTATAGCTCTTGTTATTATCACTAATTAGATACAATAGCTCTAAATCAACATTTCTTTGTGACTTGATGAATTAGAGATATTATTTTGTTTAGAAATAATAATTTAGATGTTATTGAGAAGGGAAAAATGGTTTTCATCGGAGGCTTTCATTGCCTAAGTTTTCTATTATGTTTTAGTACATACATAGGGGCTCTGGTTGGTCTTATAAAAGGAATAAATGACCTCTGGTTATGTGAAAAGGCTTTGAATATTTTGGGAATTTTATAAACCAAAATCTCTGTATGTTTCATACAAGAAGCTCTGTTTCTTAGTTCTGTATCATAGTTTTATTCTTTAAATTTATTTATTTCTTCAAAAATATTTATAAACAAAATTAAGAGTCAGAGGAGCTCTGATTCTATTTTATGCATCTCTTAAAATTGTGGTAGGTTTTTTTGAATTAGAATCATTATCTAACCAGAAGATCTCTGGTTGAGTATTGTATCACTTAGATACAGAGGCTCTGGTTGGTAAGGGCAGAGGCGCTTTGGCCCGTGGTGCCAGAGGAGCTCTGGCCCATTGAGTTAGAGTTTTATTTTGAGCTCGGGGTTTTAGAGAGGTGCATTTGGATTATGTGTTGAAGCGAACTGCTAGCCACATATTTTGATCATCTAATTGGATTACATTCTTTTGCTGAAATGCAATTACTTATGTGTAAAAGATATTTATCAGATTTTGGTGTTCATGACCCTGCATTTGCAAAGAGGGGATTTCCTCACTAGACCTTCTAGTCTAATCCTCATTTTGTGTTTGAAAAATGTGCATTGCAGGAACTGCGGGGTCAAGGGATAATAAGGGGAAGGAGAAAATGTAATTATTTCCCTATATGTTATCTGCTTATGAAGATCAACATGATGATTGCATATTTTGAAGATACATGTGGTCATACATGTGTTAGTGCAGGGATTTTATTTTGGAAATTTTCATATGTAAATGTTGTACATATAAGAATTCTTGTACTAGTGGGACCTATGTGGTGTAATCTATATTTCTTTTATATGAAATATGTGTTATATACAAATGTGGAGAATGGTGTGTTACATGATAGCGCATAGAGATATGAGTTGAAAGCTATAATATAGTGCAATGGTTGAAGTCCGAGAAGAATACCTTCAAAATAGATGCATAGAACTAGTTATGACTGACTTCTTCCTGTAGCAATGCTACAACATTGTCTGTTGAAACTTGTATTTAAGTCTCACCACAAGTCCTACACTCATGCTGCCTTTATTTATTCTGTTAACTCAACAACCAACCAAAGTCTTCAAAATCGCCATATGAAACCATTTCTTTCATTCTACTTTTATTAGGTTTTTACTACGATCCCTGTGGACGATACTCAATATACTATACCACTTTATTACTTAAAAGACGATATTGGACTAATAGTATACTTGCTTTTAGTTCCTTTTATCATATGTCTATGCGTGTGTAAAAAGCTCCTACCATGTTTGGGTAAACCGTTGGTTGTGGTGCTAGAATTTGATAAACTAGAATTTTAATCGTACCATCTACAATATCTATTTTATTATAAATGGATTCATGATATATCTGCTAATGCTTAGTTGATAAAGAAAGTAAATATTAAGTTAAGTAAAATAATTTTTTGCAATGAATAAGTTGGGTGGGTGGGTGGGTGGTGTTAGAGGAATCAAATGTAGGACCTTATATCATACATACATGTCCTAGCTGAAGCTAATACATCCCAACAAATACTTCAACTCCCCACCTGCAACCATTGGATTTGGAGATCAGTCAATCCCAAAAGAACGAACTGGAAAAGGAATGGACGTCATACATGGTTTTGTATCAGGTTTGATTTCTCCTTCCTTTATCTGTCTTATCCTAGGGTTTATTCAAATTCATGGGTTACCTTCTGGTTTGAGTTCAAAAGTTATATCTTTTGAGTTGCTCTTCTAAGTTATGCTCTTTTGACCATTAACCACTTGAAATTCATGCATCGTTTTTAATGTGTTGATTTATTAACCCTAAAGCACCAATTTTAAGTCTTTTACGTGCCTTTTATTTGCTCAATTTAACTTTTGAGTCCTTTTTATTCTCTTATTTTACATTTATTGAGCCTTGTCCAAGTCTTTAATGGTATGTCCTAAACTTGATGGCCAAGACTCCTAAGCTTATAAATAACCGACTTTCTCCTTTGCCTGCTACTTAAAAGAAAAAGCCAGCCATTCCTTTCGTATTCACATAAATATGGAAGACTTGTTTTACATATCATCTCATATTATCCCATGCATTCTTGCATTTTTGCTACTCTAATCTTGTAATTGAATTCTCTAGCTTTTTGTTAGTTCCTTCCTAAATAATTATTTTATATTCTAAAATTGTTTTAAGGCCGTAGCTTTTACTTCATCTTGTTCGAATTCTACTTGCAATTCAAGAAGTTTTATTTACTTTGTTGGTATTAACTCATTTATGTTGGTTCGTTATTTGGCATTTTTCTGATTTTGCTATTAATCTAGTCTTTTAAAATCATTGCCATACATTGGACTTTATTGTCCAATTGTAAAGCATGTGACTACGTTTATTTGTGGAAACCAATTATTTCAATGTTCCAATCTCGTGATCGCAATTTAATTGCTTTTCACATTTGTTTACTTTCTGTTTCATCTTTAGAACAAAGCCATCCATAAAATATGTTTGTGGTCGTGGTGGGTTTCCAAAGTATTGGAATCTTTAGTTTACAAGTGTTGGCGCAAGTACTCGAGTTTTCAGATAGAACTTTCTGTGCAAGTTATTAATTTCTTTACTTTAATTTATAGCTTTCCGTCATTTACATTTCTCGCATTATTTTCTAGTCATTTAAATTCCTGCAATTTACTATAAGTATTTATTTTCTGCATTTATATTAAAGTTTAATAACTTGCACAACAAGTATCATTTTAAGACTTTAATACTTATAGTTTTCACTTTTCATTTCCATGTCGTTATTTATTTTACAATGTCCATATCTTTTATAATGAGAAACCAGGCAATGATGGACTAAATACTTTAGCTTGTGGTGTAATGAAAAATTAAGACCGAAACTTATGTGAAATTAGAAAGATATTTTATGTATAGTATTTTAACTGTATTATACCTCAGGTTATTAATGTTTCATTAAATATTATACTTAAATAATTGACAGCTAAATTTATATATGAAAATATATTGACTTTCAAGGTCAAAATAAATATGAAAACCTGAGGTAATTTGAGAAAGCTACATATAGCTTTAGTATCTGACATATACTATACTCATACAGTGTAAGATGGTAACACTGTGTCATACTAGGATTTTCGACGTTTAACATAAATGATATTGTATCGATAGTACGCCGGCATGTGTGTACTCTTTGGAGGCCGTCTGACCCGATAATTGGGTATATGTAACAATACAATTGTACTAATTCATAGTAGTATTGGGCTATCAAGAAATACTATAATATATTTGTAATAGATCATTTGTCTTCACAGATCTTTGCACCCTTTTCTTTTTTTTACAATTGATATTTCCTTAGCTAATAATTAACTCAGTGAAGCTTTAGATAAAACAAATCCCTTAAATTTGCCATCTGAAGTTAGGTTTTTTTAAAGATTTGGATTTTTAAGAAAGTTTGTCCTTAGTCTTCTCCATGGGAACGATATGTGGTACATAATACCATTATTACTTGTTACAAGACGATAGTAGTTGAAGGTGTATACTTGCACTAAATTCTATTTTTGTGTTGAAATCCAAAGTTGCATAAATCTTACAAAAAATTATTGGTGCCGTTGTCGGGGAAGCACAAAACATACCAAAAGTTTTCTTTTTAGAGTAAAGTTTGTAAAAGATAATTTTTCTACAATTTTTTTTGAAAAAGAAAAAATAGTTTATTCCAGTCGCACGGTGAACTTTTCCAATTTGATCGTGGTATCAAACAAACTTTCAGACAAAGAAGAAGAGTGCAAAGAGCTTCACGAGCTTTAACCTCTTCCAAAATGTCTGAACATGATTACAATGATGGATGAGGAGAAAAAACCCGACGACAAATCTGAGAAATTAGTAAATAATGATAATACTCATCATCTAAGAAATAATCGATTTGAAGAGGAGGAACAAAATATGTTAGAACCCTATTTGTAAAAGTGTAAGTAAGAAGCCTCTTACTCTAGTCAAATAGGACTTAGTCTTAGAAGTTGTCTAGACCAAGAGCTCGAATGCAAAGGTCATCAAGAGACAGAGCTCTCTTTCACACAAAGCAAGAATCTCTCATGCAGAGTCCCTGCTCAAACAGAGGAAGATCAAGTCTTAAGCATTAAAAAGCTTAAGAACTTGATACAGAGCTATCCTTCCAGGCGCAGAGCCTCTGCATTATACATGCAAAGTCTCTAAGTCTCAAACGCCCTTAGTTTGCGCACAAGCGGTTCCAGCCTTATCTCCAAGTCTCCATTCAGAATCTTATACGTATGCAGAAGCGGTTCCACATTTCAAGGAATGTGAAGGCAGAAGACTCTGAACAAGAAGTCAGAGTTTGAAGCCTAGAATATAGGAGATTTTGTTTGTACCTGGACGTATATAAGGAGGTGTCCTCCTTGGGTTCAAGTGACTCGAAATTGCCAAATTTCATATACGCTCCTACTATAGAGAATTACTGTGAGAACTAGTTGATAGTTGAGAGTTTACTTGTAATTTCTTATTCTAATCAAAGCAATCGATTTGTCAAACTTGTTTTTATTCTTATATGTCTTTGATCAAGTCTGTTAACCATTTCAATAACACAGTAGTCGCTTCCACTCATAATATATTTTATGATGTCTTAATTGATACTTATGAGGATTTTGGGCTCCTATAATTGGTATCAGAGCCCGCTAATCAGTCAATTGATTAGTCAATCTAAATCCAATAGGGTAATCCTCTTTTGTTGGTTGATTTCTTTTTAAAAGATTTTCTTTCCAGATCTTATCTCTCATTTTTTTTATAAAGTAATCGCTTTTCGTGTTCTCCAAGTTTGCTAGTTTTCGAGTTCAGTTTTTCCTTAAATCTTTAAACTTCTTGTTTGTTTTCTCTCTAAAACAACTTTAAAATGTCAAATCAATCCTGGAAATCAATATATACAGTGTTGGTTCCCTCACAAAACCTCCTACTCTCATTTGGGATGAATATCCCCAATGGAAAATTAGGATGATAAACTTTTACGAAAGTCTCGACCTTGAACTCTATGAATCCATAAAAAATGGGCGTTATGTGCCCATGACTTTAATTGTTAGGATTCCTCCCTCTGGCAATACTGTCGAAGTACCTGCAAGGCGTGTTTCTAAAGAACAAAGAGATTGGGATGATGAGGATAAGTGAAGGGTGGGAATCGATCAAAAATCCAAAAGGCTTTTTATTATGGCCCTCCCGAACGAAATCTTCCAATCTTTAGATGCCTCTGAATCCACTAAGGATTTATGGGATCAATTAGCAAATCAGCTTGAAAGTGGGATCAAGATGAAGAAGAACAGACGTGCTCAATGTCTAAATGAGTACACTAGTTTCAAGACCCTCCCCGATGAGTCTCTCGAATAGATGTATCATCTGTTTAATACGCTAATTAATAAGTGCAAAAAGTGCAACGTGATTAGAACACAGGAAGAGAACAATATGCTCTTCTTGAAAATATTGAATGACGAATGTGGAAACCTGTCCATGTTTCTTCAAGCTAATCAAGATTTGGAGCAGTGGACATTGCATGACGTCTACGGCACCCTTGCAGGCACAAGAACAAGAGGTGTAACAAAATAAGGTCTCTCTGGGTGGACCTCTAGCTCTTGTCTCTAACTCTAAAAAGATTAGTTCTAGCATGTCATCCAAAGAGAGGAGATCCAGAGATGAAAGAAGAAGAGGGAAGAAGTCTCTTGTGATAGAGAGCGATGAAGAAGACAGAGCTTCAAGCTCTAATGATGATGACATAAGCACATTCACACATTCCTTGGCCCTCATCACCAAGGAGTTTAATAAAAAGTTTGGGAGAAAGTTGTTTGATAAGAGAGGAAGCGGGAGTGAGAGAAGCAAGGATAGAGAACATGAGTCAAAGAACCCTCCTTCACAAGTGATAACGAAGTAGAAAGAACATCCATAGAAAAGGAAGCATGGAGTCAGATATTTCAGATGTGGAAGAATGGGACACTTCTCTAAAGAATGTAAAGGTCCTCTAGTCAAGGACGAGTTGTACTACAAAAACAAATACAAGTACAACCAATCTCAAAGGAGCCTCATGGCAGAGCAAGAGAATTGGGTCTCTGATTCAACCTCAGATGAAGAAGACCAAGCCCACTTTTGTGGAATGGTCGTTGATCATGATACAAAAGAGTTTGGATCCAGCTACGACTCTCAGAAAGGCCTTAGAAGGCCAGGGGAGAAAAAGGGAACAAGAAAGGAAGGCCAGAGAAGACAAAGGCAGATTTCAATAAACAATCGAAACTAGATAGGGAGTTCATTTGAACTAACAATCCTAGGAGCGATTGTAATCATAGAAAGTCAAAGTTGTATGAATCCAGTGAATCGTTTTGTCATAAAAAATGTGTTCATAATTGCAAATGTCTATCTCTGTTGCGGCAATTAAAGCAACAACTTTCTAGTCCCAATTGCATTCTCTTTGGGTCACCAAAGAGTAAATCTAAAAGGACGCAGAGGAAGCAGGCTCCTAAGGCCAAATCTGACAAGCCAGACTCCAAGTCTAGTAAATCGGGAGTTGAGGCAGACCCTTACCCCCAAAATCCGAGACTCCAAAACCTAATCATTGAGGACCCATTATGAAATGGGTACCCAAGTCTCTCTAATTTGTTTTGCAGA